TTGTTGTTGTTGTTGTTGTTGTTGTTGTTGTCGTTGTCGTTGTCGTTGTCGTTGTCGTTGTCGTTGTCGTTGTCGTTGTCGTTGTCGTTGTCGTTGCCGTTTTCGTTGTTAGGGGGCGACGCTCTTTGAAAAAACCCTAAGGCTCCGTCATTACTTGTCCGATCGGAATGAAACTTGACATAATTATTCTAAGCAATATTCCGCATCGACTGACCGTGTTCGATTTTTCATTTTTGACTTTAGAAGCGAAATACAAGCAATTGTTGACTGCCGTATTCGTAGCAAATAAATATATACATATCATTAATATTCAGCAAATATATCAGCAAACGCAAATGATAAGAAAAACATTGTCTTCTCTATTGTTCGTTGTGAACACAATCACAATAGTCTAAAGCTTCTCAAGAATGTGGACGATTAATTATAACGATTAATATTAATTATAAGCGTAAAGACTTAAGTTGACTAATTTAACACGCTGGCTTAGTTTCTCAAAGCGCAGAGGAGTAATAGTCCGTGGGCTGTCCCTCGAAATTGATTCGTTTCGTTGCCGCCATCGCGGTGCTAGAATAACTTTACGTTTTTCTATAGATTATAAAGTGCAGAGTTTAATTTTTGTTGTTCCCACTCGCCTAAACCCGCAGTTTTTTCGTAAACAACCATTGAAGTTACTTCGTTTCGGCCATTTTGGATTTGGCGGCACCTTTTATCTTACGGCGTTTTAACATGAAGTATCTCGCGTCGTATAGCATCGCAGGCTTATAAACAAACTCAGTTTCTTCTATGGTTTCGTTCATTTCTTTTATTTCTACACGTTTACAACCTTTAAAGACACCGATCAATCGTGTAAGTAATTTTATAATTTTGAAAAGACATAAGATACTGTATTTACATTGTTTCATTTAACTTTTGAGGCGTTAAATTATATTAATTTACACGTTAAAATATTTCATCATCACTTGACCATTCAGGAAAGTCGTCAAGGTCAAGTTCATTCTCACAGTTTGTACATTCAGTGCACTGGCACATATCATTACACCTGTTTAATGCTTTTTTACAGGAGCACCGTTTGGTTGTGCAACCTGTTTTGCACTTGCAATTACAATTTGAAAGCAAAGCATCTGGAGCACATTTTCCATCCATCCACACAATTGTTATTTTGCCCTGTGAATTGCATTTCCAACCGTGATTAGCTGGGCTTGGAGCATCAATACTGGAGCATGTAGATCGCTTCCAAACTGCTGCTTGGTAATTGGCTCTTTGGACATGTTTAAGAAGGCAATCTTTGTTTGGTGGCAGAGAAGAATCAGAAAATTTGCAAGTCGGAACATATTGTAACGTAAAACGTTGACACTGGTTTCACTTTTTGCCTTGTATAATTTGCATACTGTTGCTTCTATTTCCTTTTCAAACTGCTCATCAAAGGAAAATTCAGTTCCAAGGGAGGTCAATGTAGCCACAGATGTTGGATCATGCAATAGGATATTCCAGGAAAATACCTTACTGTAACCATAAAACGAGCTCGTTGAATCACATCCTAAAAATTAACAAATTTGCAACCTTTCAGAATTACTTATACTTCCCACAGAAAAATATTTGACGCTAATTTTTTCCCCCTTCACATGTCATTTTGCTGCATATTTTACTAAAAAGAATAGCACCCCTCAGGCTGGATAGCAAAAATTCCTTAGTGGGTTGGGGTGAAGCATGAACTCTTTCGACATGGCCATGTACAGTAAATATAATCTTATGATACATTGTGTATACATTACCAGTAAAGAAATGAAATCCAATTAAGGCTTTGCATTTTTCTGCTCCTAATTGCTGGGCAATATACTCCATGTCAAGTATTCGGGTACAATCTTTCACTCCTGTTAGGAAATATAACTTGGCTGAAATAGTGAGAGAAAAATGTAGTAACAAGACAAACACATCAGTATCTGGACTGCGGACCAGCACATTGATGTATCTCGTTGCATGTGATGCATGCAGCAGCATTCTTGTGTCAGCCTCCTCATGGTCACAAGCAAGTTCGGGGACTCTTTCGACAATGACACAAGCATCATTGGTAGCTACTGTTAATATATGGTGGCATTGATCATTCTCACAGACATATAATGTTAGTCCACGTAAGAGTTTTATAATTAAAATACTCCAATGATGTATTAAACTTTACCCGTTTTATACTTTTATAAACATGCACATAATATGGAATACCTGTACCTTATCCATTATATAGGCGTCCTTTCTTTTACATATGATGCACTGTACGGGAAGGACATGAATGCTTCGCCTTTCCGTGTTTGTACTAGTCGAAGGTTGTGTCGAAGTGGAAGCGCATACAAATGACGCTATTCTGGAAGAACAACGTTTTTCCGAGCAAGTTTTTGACATGCTTTGCTCTTTTACATCTCTCACTGGGACCTTCTCTTTTTTCTACATACTTCTAGCCACTTTATTTTTTGTCACAAAACCTAACGTAGCACTCTTTGTGATAGCGAAAGTCAGCAGCTTCTGTAGGCAGAACATCTGGCTCGTTGTCAGGCCATGATCGCACGACATCGATAATTTTCTCGGCAATTTCTTTTGGTTCTCCATCCAAATTAATCCATTTTTCACAATATTCTTTTATTTTCACAAGTGTATGACATGTTAATTTACACAAATCTCCTGTTTTGCCACGAAAATGAATTAAACATGAGGATAAAGCAGTAAAACTACCCACGCTTTCATCCTCCATATTTATGATATTAATGATTTATGAGCCCGCAAGCCTGAAACGTCATGTAAAATTCGATCTAGATCAAAGGCGAAATTCAAAGACGAATTGCAAAAAAACTGCGGGTTTTCGTGGTTGGGAACAACTAAATTTGAATTCAGCTCATCGAATTCTATTGTATGGTGTAAAGTTACCTTAGCACCGTGATGGCGGCAACGAAATTCGATTTTCCGCCTCTTTTTTGGATGACAGCCCACGGACTATAATGTACTCCTATCTCATGGCTATCATATAATATTATATATATATATATATATAGCCGGAAAATCGCGAACAGTGAAAACAAACTGAGACATGTCAATTTGTTTTTAGCACAAGCATGCGGTTATGAAACCATGACTAAGCGAAATGAACTGCATTAACCTATACTACAGCAACAATTCAGATAATTTGTTACCTTAACTTAAGTCCTGTTTATATACACGGCACGTACACGACTGTAGCTGCAATATTTTGCAATGGCACGCACGGCACGGCAAAATTTGTTAGGGCAAAAGTTAAATATATTTCGTATAAGATGAGTTGTTTTTGAAGCCATTTAAAGCACTTGTAGTCGTGTTTTATCACATATAAAACACTCCGCTACGCGTCGTGTTTTATATGTGATAAAACACTCCTACGCGTGCTTTAAATAGTACTTAAGCACGGCATGTTTAGTCTTAATATTGTGGGACATTTAACTTATCTATCGAATTCGAATGCGAGTATATACTTTTGAAAACTGCGCATTTAGTTATCTATGCTTTATCCAGGTTTACACTCATTTATACACGGCATCACTAGACACATATTTTTGCCCGGATAAGTAATATCTTGCATGACCAAATTAAAGCAAAAACATTTAGCGAACTCAGTCTATGCTGCCATGCAATTTCGAGAATTTGATTAGTTTTACAAGTGTCTAGTTA